ACGGAAATGGTCACGGTGTCGTTTGCTACGATACGAAAATTATCTCAAAAATTTATTTCGTCATGAGTGAAATAGTAAGTCATTTTCATTTACTATAATTTTTTTATAAAATGTGTATTTAATAACATAAAATAGTAAAATTTTTTTATAAATTTAAAGTTTATGCATTTATAGGTTAGATTCTTGGTACACAAAGGTGCTTTCCAATTGATGGCACAAGTCGACACAAATCGGCACAAGTGTCGTTCTATCTTTCTTGACATTTAGAGAATGACAAAGATAAAACGACACTGGTGTCGACTTGTGTCATCAATTGGAAAGCACCTAATATAGCTCAAATAGTTTAAAATTAAAACAGTAAAACAACAGGATTACTAGCCAAGCTACATATTTATAATTATAAAATTTATTATAAACAATAAAATCAATTTCTAAAAAACTTTCGAACAACCTATTGCGTCTTTTTCAATAATTAACATACAATTGAAAAAATGTTCTTATAAATAATATTATTCTTATAATTTTTACTGTTGAATTTTTTAAATTGTATGTTAACTGCATTTAGAATGACCCAATACAGGTCGAAATATCTATTAGAAATTAATTATTGTTGATTTATGATAATTTTAGCAGTAAATATCTAGCTTGACTCTCGTAGCCCTGTTGTTTTTGTTTTGTAGATTTGGTTATTGAGTAATCGATAGGTATTGAATAATAATAATAATAGAAATATTAAAAAATATAACTTTTTTCCTTTCCAGGGATATATATGTAGTTATTGTAAGTGGGTATTAAAAAAGGATCAAATTACAATGCATTCATGTCTAAATATTGATAACAAAAAGGAACAAATCTTAGTGATAGATAGTCAAAACAGACATATTTCCATACAAGGTATAGTACATTTCAGTTTTATTTTTCTTATAATTATTAATTTAATGTAAAATATAATAATACGTATGTATGTATTAATGTAAAATATATATCATTTAGATATTGAAAACTATGAATTAGATGATATAGAAAACTATACAGAAAGAAATGAGGTGGCGAAAGAGATGAGTAATAATGACTCTTATTCAATAAATAAACAAGCAATTGATGAAGATTTAATAAATGCTGTCCAAAAGAGACCTGCATTATATGACTATCGAATGCCCTTAAAAGAACGAAGTCGACAAAAGAATGATTTATGGAAAAAAGTGTCTAAAGATTTAAATGGTAAAATTTTTATTTAATATATTTATTCAAGATAATCTACACTTATAGTTTGTACAGTCTTCCGCAACTCGCCGATTCGCGTAAAGGAGGCACGGTAGTGTCGCTGGACTTGGCTTTAGTGTCAAGACACTAACGTGTTTCCACGCTTTAAAAAAAACTTCACGATTTAAAAGAAAAATATATAATAAAATTTCTTATATTTCATGAATTCATATTTCAGGAATATATACACCAATAGAAGCAGAAAAAAGATGGAATTATCTAAAAGATCGCTATCGAAAGTCATTAAATAGTTATAAAAAAATTCAGGAATCTACTCAAAGAAGCGGTGCAGCTGGTATTCCTAAAAATCAATTAATTAAACCATCATTTAAACATCATCATTTAATGAGTTTTCTAAATGATGTTTTTCAGCATCGTGCGTAAGTTATCTTTAAATTTTTATTGTTATTTTCTGAGTAATAATTTATATTAATATGTATTAATTATTACCATTAATTGTAGATCGATTTCGTCTATAAGAATGATTGATGAACCATCTACATCGAAAGCAATAGAGAATGAAGATTCATTGAATGAACTAGTCAATGATCCCAATGAAAAAAATAATGAAAGTGAATTTATACCGTCATCTGTATCTTCTGGCCTTTCGTATAGAAGCACTCCATCATTGGAAAGAAAAAGTAATTTTGTTTAGTTATTATTTTCTAAGAAGGAAGGAAAGATCATATATAAAACGAGCTAAAAATTAGGTTAAAACTAAATAATCTAAATATAATAATCTATAAACAATCCAAAACTAAATATATTGTATTTGATAAATAATTCTTTAGTTTATACCTAAATTTTGAGTAATTCATTTTTTATCATTCTTTTTCATTCTATTGTTTAGTAAAACAAACGGAATTTATCGTTAGTTTAATTATTTTCTATTTGTAATTATAAACGACAATAACAAATATATTTTTTACAGAAAGAAAAACTGTAGGAAATTACGATGAATATGATAAAATGTTTTTAGAGGCATTAAAAACACCTGTACAGCCTAATCCAATTGATTGCTTCATGCTGCGTTTAGCAGAGGGAATGCGCAAACTTCCCTATAAAGAAAGATAATAATAAATTAATTAATAAATTAATAAATTAATAAATTAATTTTAATTAACTAATAAATATTAAAATAAAATAAAAAAAGGGCTATGTGTGAGCCAATCTATCATTTTATTACAACATTTAACATTTTTTTTTTTTTACAACATTTTATTTAAATAGTTTTAAGAGAAAAATTAAAATATCGTCATGTTTTCCTATCACATAATTTATAATAGAAAAAGATAAATTTCATTTCAAAAGTCAATTTTATTTGAAAATTATTTAAATTTTTAATTACTACAATCATTCTTTTTTTGTTCCGACTTTTTGATTACCGGGTTTCCCATGGAGTGACTTTTTCGGAAAACGGACTATTATTCTAACCTCAAACCGACTTTTAATTTAAAAGTTTCATTCATTATCTTCTGTTATAATAAAAAGTACATCGGGATTTTATTTTCTTATAGATACTTCTACTATATCATAATTATCTTTTTTCATAAAATATTTAAAATAAATTTTCCGATTTTTCATAATTCCGGAAAAATTGGTCCATGGGAAACCGAGTCATGAAAATTTCGGACCGACAAGCAGACAAGCACTCAATTCTGTATATCTCCAACAATAATCATATATACATATAATGGAAACAATAAATACTCATATATTAATCAATATTTAATAACTTACCACTGATAATTTTTTACTCAAAACAAAATAAATTTTTGAGGTAATTTTCGTGTCGTAGCAAACGACACCGTGACCATTTCCGTGTCGTATCGCGTCGTAGTTTAACGTCGTAACGCGCATCGTAACAAACTATAGAATACAACGCGTTATATCATGCGCGTGCCAACTGCTGTGTCTTCTCTCTAGTCTAGTATTTTCCGATTTAGTACTTTTCCGAGATTCCGTTTTCCGAAATCCGACTGTCATGGGACAGCACCCTTAGGGATCCGATTACTTCACGTAAACACCCATGCGACCATCGCAAATTGGGCGATTTCGAAAAAAAATTATGCGACCTTTGGGCGATTTTCAGTTTTCTAATAAAAATTGGTATTCGTGCGAGTATGCATATTGCTGGATTCACACTGCATCCGATTTTTGTCGTATGACGACTCTGCAATCAGGAAACAAAATTGTGCTTCGTATCGATGATACGATTTTTCTGATTGGTTGCAGAGTCGTCGTACGACGAAAATCGGATGCAGTATTTTTCGACAGTCGTTGCAATAGTTTATAACCTAGACACATTTAAACATAACCCATCACTCACAAGCCGATAAAAATGAATGAAAAAATAATGAACATTGAAGACTATATGTAAATATACCATTTATTGTTTCTATAGAATATTTAATATTATAAAGTTACTTATCTACATAAAATGCTATATGCACAAATAGATTGTTAAATTTCCGGTATCAACGTGCTTAAAAAGTTTGTCAATCGTCACATGAAATATCGAGCTGAGTGCGATCAAAACAGGTTAAAATATCAATTTATGTCGAAACAACAGATTTTAATGACAACAAGTATATTATACATATACGACAAAGTGTACGTTCCACTTAACGTTCGCAACGCTCGCGAGGATCATTTTGTCCTTCTTGTAATCGAATATTAAGTAAGGATGAGATGATACACGCGATCGTTGCGAACGTTAAGTGGAACGAACCCAAAATATCGTCGTACGAACGACCGCATGCGCACTTGCAGCCAATCAGTACGCCCGACAAAGTTTGTCGTACGACACATGAAATATCAGCCTAAATCCAGGCATATGTTAACCAATTATACTCGATCGTTCGGCAAGCGCATAGACCACGGACTTAGGAATAGAGGGACGGAGCATAAAGTTCTACTTTAGGCAAGAGGGGGTGTTCTCTCAGGCATGCAGGGGGAACCGTTCTCCGCCATATTGGTTTCTGAGAACTCACACATAGACATGTGTCAGTGACATTCCGCTTGAGCTGTGTTAGTGTGACAGTTAGAAAGTTAGGTTAGATACTCGAATTCATTCGTCTCATTCATCAACATTAATTCACGTTTTAAAAATAAAAATGGTAAAATGCATAGTACCAGGATGTTTTACAACAAATTCTATAGACAAACATAAAAGCAAATTTCAGAAAGTATTGGAAGAAAATATAAAAATTAGTTTCCACAGGTAAAAAATTATAATATATATTATTCTTATTAATACGTAATATTTTATTTTTATTAATATAAAAAAAACACTTTGTTGATACTATTGATATATGTGTCTGTTAATACTATTCAAAGCAAAAAAGAAAAAATATTAGATTAAAGTTATAATAAGTATAATTATTATTTCTTATTACAGGTTACCAAAAGATGCAAATAAAAGAGCATTATGGCTTAAAAATATTGGATTGAATGAAAACATTAATTTGAAAAAACATGCATCAATTTGTTCGTTACATTTTAAAGAAGAAGACATAAATAGGACTTTAGATAAAATTTTTTTACGTGAAAACGCTGTGCCCTGTGTATGAAATATTATAATATTCTAGTTGACATTAATTGTGATTTTTTATTAATAATCTCTTTTACTTCTTTAGGTAGAAGCTTTTATTGATGATACACACAATAGAGAAGATATTGAAAATCAACAGAATTATTTAAATTTTTCGTTTTCTTCTATTGATAATAATTCAGACCAACTTTCATATTTAGAAACCTCATTTTCATCAGTTGATACACATATCACAAAAAAATTAAATACAGGGAATCAGAATAACAATAATTTTCAAGAACAAAGTTTTTTCATGACTGATGAAATGCTTCTTGATGAATCCACTGGAGAATTAACTATAAGAGAAGAATCTTTGTTAACTGGTTAGTTAGAATTTTTATAGTTATCTAATTTCATTTATAATTATATATAAAATATTATATATACTTTACAATTTTTTAAACATTAATATGCTATTTTATTTTTAGATAAATTTCAAGACTGTTCTGTAATACTCAATGAAAAATCTTTTACTGATAGGTGTACTTCTCCAATAAATTTATCTGAAAATTCAAATTTGAAAGTTTATCGCTCGACATCTGTTAGTCCTGAACATTTTCAAGATGACAAAGATAATATACTATCAAATTTTTGAAAGCTTCTTTGGAAGAGTATAAGCAAAAAGCTCAACAAACAATTAAACGTTTGAAACGCAAAATAAAACAAAAATCTAAACCAGATTTTGATACTGTTATGGTATCTTTAAAATCAAAATTAGATAAGAATCACTTAGACGTTTTAGAGCAAATCGGTAAGTCTAATAAAGAATTTTTGAAAAGAATAATTTTGAAATGTAATAACAATAAAGTTAATAAACAATACAGCCCCGAATTAAGGTCATTTGCATTAACTTTACATTATTACAGTCCAAAAGCTTATGATTATGTAAGAAAAAAATTCGATTGTATTTTACCTCATCCAAAAACCTTATATAAATGGTACACTTCTATAAATGGAAATCCCGGTTTTAATTCGGAAGCTTTGAAATCAATTGAAGAACGTTGTAAATTTGTTAATTATTTTTTGTTCGGGGCTGTCATATTTGACGAAATGGATATAAAGAGTGAAGTTGAACGAGTGGGCTCAAAAATGTATGGCTTGGTAGACTTTGGTGGTATGGAGAAATATATTGCTATTGATGATCCTAACAAATTAGCTAAACAAGTTTTGGTTTTTACTGTTGTGTGCATTAATGGATCATGGAAAATTCCGTTTGGCTACTTTTTTATAGATTCGCTAAAAGCTGATGCCAAAAAATTTCTTATTTTAAAAAGTTTAGAATTGCTGCATGCTTCTGGAATTTTTATTACTTCTTTGACGTTTGATGGTGCTGCTGTAAATATGTCTATTATGAAACAGTTAACAGGTTTTTATATTGATAAAGAATATCAAAATAACAATTTGCAGACATATTTTCTACATCCTGTTACTGAAAAGAAAGTGTTTATATTTTTGGATCCATCACACATGTTAAAATTAGTACGAAATTGTTTAGGCGATTTTCGTACTATTATTGCTGAAGATGGAGAAGTATCATGGAAATACTTTGAACAACTACACACTATTCAGGAAAAGGAAGGACTTCATTTAGCAAATAAGTTACGCTGTAAACATTTAAATTATCGAAAGCAGAAGATGAAAGTTCGACTTGCAGCCCAATTATTTAGTAATAGTGTTGCTGATTCAATGACAGTTTTAAAAAATATGAATATTTCTTTATTTAAAGATAGCATTGCTACAATCCGCTTTATAAATTTATTTAATGATCTTTTTGATATTATGAATAGTAAAAGTTTAAAAAGCTCGCATTTTAAAAAGCCGTTACAATATTCTAAAGAAAATGAGAACCAGCAAAATCATAATAACATTATTTTTGAGAAATTACTCGAATGCGAAAAGTATATTCTTAATTTGGAAACAAAAAACTCAGAAAAACTTATTTTTAGTAAAAGAAAGGTGGGATTTGTTGGATTTTTAATTTGTATTTATAGTCTCCAGCAATTATATCATGAATTATGTGAAAATGAAAAGGTTTTAAAATATATACCATCTTACAAAATGAGTCAAGATCACATAGAATTACTTTACGGTTGTATAAGAGCACATAATGGTTGTAACAATAATCCTACAGTTCGGCAATTTGTTGGTATATTTAAAAAAATTTTAGTACATCATGAACTTCGTACAGATAATACAGGTAATTGCATACCTCAAGAAAATATTTCTATATTACATATAACATCGAAAATAGATCCAGTGAATGTAATTAATATGACCACGCCATCAATTCAACATGTCTTACCTGAAATAAATAATAACAAAGAGGATGGAAGCATAATTGACAAAAATATTGATAGAGATACAGAAAGATTATTAACATTAATTAAGAATTTTGACACACTCATATGTAACACATCTATGCACTGTATCAGAGATTGCTGAAACAATTATTTCTTATATAGCAGGTTCTGTTGTTCGATTT